TCTTATAGATGTTGGTCACCAAACTAATCGGCCTGAAATCTTTAGGATGTTTGGCATCTGATCTCTTTGGGATGAGAGCTAAGAATGTGGCATTAACTCCGCAACTAATCACATGGTTGTTTTCAAACTCCCTAAACACCTCAAACAAATCTTCTTTAATAATGTCCCAACACTCTTGATAGAAAGCCATGGTAAAATCATCTGGTCCAGGAGCCTTTGACCTGTCCATAGAGAAAACAACTTGCCTTATCTCTTCCTCTTCAAAGTCTCTTTCCAACCAAGCTGCCTTGCCGATTGATAGACCTGGCCAATCTAGATCTTCCACTCTCACCCTTCTCTCCAACAGCCTCCTCAAAATGGATTTAAAGTGAGTTACAAAGCAATTGGCTATCTCCTCTTGTGACTCAATTTTTACTCCTTCAACCTCAATCTTGGTCACAAAATTTTTTCTCCTTTTCCCATTGGCCATAGCATGAAAGAACTTGGTATTCCCATCCCCTTCTTTGATCCATTGATGCCTAGAATTTTGCCTCCAAGATATCGCTTCCCTTAATAGAACATCTTCCAAATCCTTCTTCAACTTCCATCTCAATTCTCTTTCTTGTGCACTCATGGTCCTTTCATGTTCCTTTAAATCTAAATCCTCAATTTGGGAAGCCAATCTGGCTTTTAACTCTTTAAATCTCCCAAATTCCTCTCTGTTCCAATCTCTTATTTTGGATCTCAGACTTTTTAATTTTTTGTGGAGTCTAACCCCTTTCCACTTAACTCCCCTAACCTCTTCTCTCCACCACTCCTTCACTTTATGCACAAAGTCCGGGTGTGTCAACCACATGTTCTCGAACCTAAAGGGTTTAGGTCCAATCCCAAAAGTCTCTTGGTCTAACTCTATAGGACAATGATCCGAGGTAACTCTAGGTTGAGCTCTAGCCACCAAACCCCTCTAGTGTGCTTCCCAACTTTCCCGAAGGGTCCTTTTCTTGTAAATCCTTTCTTCATTTGATGGTTGCCACACAATCTTCTTCTCATTTTCCAGTCAGAAATTTGGTGCCTCCTATCCTCCTAAAGTCAGTGCTTTTTGTTGGGAAGTTTCTCATGGTTGTATTAACACCTTTAATGTACTTCAAAGGAAAAGGCCAAACTGGTGCTTGTCCCCTAACTGGTGTGTCTTGTGTAAATTGAATGGTGAGACTGTTTTCCACCTTCTTATATCTTGCCCTTTTGTTAGTTTTATTTGGAATTGGTTTACTTCCCTTTTTGGGTGTAGGTGGTCCTCTCCAGACAGGGTGGAAGGCTTATTCAACCCTAATGGTATCAGTGGTATGACAAGGAGAGGAAGGATTCTTTGGAGATGCACTAGAGCAGCAATACTTTGGACCATCTGGGAGGAAAGAAACGATAGGATATTTGAAAGTAAAGAAAAATGCAAGGAAGCTTTAGTTGAAATAATAACATTGAGGGTGGCTCATAAAAAGTTTGAAGCTGTTTTCAGCTTTCAAGGTTGAAGATTTTTTCAGGGTTTGGGGACTTATTGCTGCTTCATCATCTATGAGACGACAGCTTGTTGAGACTTGGTCCCCTCCAACAGAGGGTTAGAAGAAGCTAAATTTTGATGGGAGTTGTGTGGGTAACCCGGGCCCTTCAGGTATTGGGGGGGCCATTAGAGATGAAAATGGTTCCATCATTGCCCTTTACTCCGGTCCTGTGGAGGTAGGTGATGTGACAAGGGCAGAGTTTCTAGCTGCAGTATATGGGGTTGAGAAGGCTAAAGAGTTGGGGATCAATAGACTGATCATCGAGGGAGATTCAAAAACTGTGATAAAATGGTTGCAGAAAGGGGAAGGGGTGACATGGTAGTTGAAGAATGAATTCAGAAGATTTAAATGGATGTCAAGGAACTTGTCAATTCAGGTGAGATGGGCAAACTGCCAACAGTTTGGCAGATAGCTTAGCAAAGCAAGGGGTTCACAGATCATATATGTTTTGGGCACACTTGTAATTCTGTACTGGGTCAGCTTACTATGCTGATTTCTTTTGTAACTTCTTGTTGCATCCTAAAGTATTTTAATCAATAAAAGTTTCTAAGTTATTGATAAAAAAAATTGTATTAATGAAGTTACCGTTTCCAATAAAAAAATAGTTCTGCCTTGAGCCTTATTATAAAGGTTTTGTTCCCTTCACCTATCTCAGATTGAGCACAACTTGCAACTGTCCTTTTCCCCCGTTTTATGTTAATTGTGAACCACCAAATGACCTTTTTTGAGTTGTCTCTAATTTGAGACAAGTGTTCAAGAACAAAAACTTAAGGGCTCATTCTATTTTGTTCTTCATACTCAAGGATGAAAAGCATTGAAATGAATCAGTTACTGGTAAATTTGGGTTTTTGATGGAGTAAAGTGTTGGTGTCTTTCCTTTATTCTTGCCTTGGATCAGGTATGACTTGCATTCTAAGAATTGTATTAAAATTTGGGAACACTTTTGGGTGGGGAATTCTCTCTTAAGGGACCAGTGCCCTTCCGTGTTTGCTTTGTCACTTTATAAAAATGAGCCTATTTCTACCTTCTTGGTTCCTTCCAATTCTGGTTCTATGTTTGGTTGGGATTTGGGTTTAAGAAGGGCTATTAGGGATACTGAGTTAAGTAGTACTTTGTTTCTCTTGAGTGTACTTGATGGGGTGTACTTGGACCCCCTTCAACTGATAGAAGAATTTGGGCCCCCACTTCTCATGGTTTGTTACTTGCTCTTCCTTTTTCAACACCCTAACCCAATCGGAAACTAATGGGGGTCTACCTTTTCCTGTTAAAGAAGTGTGGAGCAAACCTATTCCTCCTAGGATTGGTTGTTTTTGCCAGGAAGCTTACTTGGAAAGAATCAATGCCTGTGATGTGCTTCAAAGAAAAAGACCAAAAAACTGTTTGTCTTCTTTTTGGTGCTGTCTTTGTAAGGTTGCCGGTGAGAATTGCTACCATTTATTGATCTCTTGTTCATTTGTTAAAGGTTTATGGGAATGGTTTTTTTCTTTTTTTGGATGCAAGTGGGCCCCACCACCAGATGTGAAAAGTTTGTTTGCTCCTTCCTTTTCTAGAAGAAAAGGGGAAGAATAATGTGGGGTTGTGTGAGTGCTGCTCTTGTTTGGACTATTTGGGAATAAAGGAATTTCAGAATATTTTCATGGAAGGAGAGAAGCAAGGAGGAAGCCCTTTAGGAGGTGGTTTGCTCTAGGGTATTCATCTCTTCAACAATGTCTCAATCGATGATTTGTCAAGAAAACGGAAAGAAATTATAAGAAATTATCTTTTCAGCCCTGATGCTAGAGGTATCAGTTCCAGCTTCCCCTTTACAAAATGAACTGTGACGGAAGCAGCATTGGCAACTAGGGCCTTTGGGTTGTTTGCTCCTTCCTTTTCTAGATTGCCAAAGAAAAGGGGAAGAATAATGTGGGGTTGTGTGAGTGCTGGTGTTGTTTGGACTATTTGGGAAGAAAGGAATTCTAGAATATTTTTAGGGAAGAAGAGGAGCAAGGTTTAAAGTGTCGATGTTGATGGAAATGTTGCTTACCAAAATATAGGACACATGTCGGAAATGTCGAGGGGAAATATTGTAAAAATTAGAGACATTGTAGAAATATTATGAAATATGTGGAAATATGCAATGATATTTTGTAAAATGATAAAAGAAGCATTAATACATATTTCTAGACTATTATCTTATTCCCAACCATTATATAAAGCTAAGGAACTAAGATCAATAACAAATTAGTAAATGA